ATGCCTCCTTTACGATCATATAAATGGCTATGCTTTTTCCGGATCGATCGTCATATATGGTAGGTTTTACCTTCCTAACGATCAAATGAAAATTTATATTTTTTCCGGATTGATCGATATATATGGTAGGCTCTGCCTCCTTCTCTACGATCAAACGAAAACTATGCCTATTGAATTCTTAATGGAAGGCGATGCCTCATGAATTCTTATATGAAAAGGCTATAGTCCATAAATTATTATTTTGTACATTTATGTGTTTAATTATTTTTATTTATTTTATTCGTAAAGAATAAATATATATGTTATATGAGATTTAAACACTTTGAAATATGTCTTTAAAATCAAAAATATATTTCTCTTATGAGAATATATGAAGCACGGGTCAATATATTTTTAGACAGTGCAAATTAATTGGAAGGTCTAAATGAGCTAGTCTCTCGACTTCCAAATGCATCAGATTCATAATAATCGATGCTTCGTGTTCTCCAAAGTCTCAAAGAAACTCGTGTAGTTTCAAAGACATTTATTTTTATAATTATTATATTGAGACTATAAATAAATGTGGTATTGAATGTCCAACCACAAATGGAGACACGCATATGTATGATTATATCATACAAAATAAAGATGGCAAAATATTTATGATAGCAAACAGAGATTTGCTAATTGCTATAATATAGCATAACCGGTCAAGCCATCCCGATAGAAAAATGCATTTGATGATAATGATCCAGATCCAGGATCCATATCAGTGCTAACAAGGGCCTGATTAAAAAAAAGTGCAATATATTGAATTGCTCTTCCTTAATAAAAGAGATGTCGTTGGATCTCTTGTCACTACATCTAAATATATAAAACCTATTGGGTGCAAGTGGGTCTTCGTGCGAAAAAGTTGAAATCACACGATATAAAGCCCGACTTGTTACACAAGGTTTTTCTCAAAGACCTGGAGTTGATTATGAAGAAACATATTCTCCGGTCATGAATACAATTACATTCAGGTACACAACGAGCCTAACGGTCCCTTATCATTTAGAATTGTACCTTATGGATGTAGTGACAACATGTTTATATGGATCGTTGGATTTAATATATACATAAAAATCCTAGAAGGATTTAAAGTTCCTGAGCCATTAGACTCAAACTTCTAATGAAATATGTACGGTCAAATTACAGCGATCACTTTACGGATTAAAACAATCCAGACGCATATAATCGTTTAAGCGATTATTTATTAAAGAAAGGGTATGTTAATAATAAAATATGCCCTTGCGTCTTTATTTAGAATCTCTTTCGAGATTTGTGATCACTGCTGTATATATTGATGACCTAAATTGGAACTCGAAAAGAGTGATTAAATATCACTAAAATTTTATGTAAAGAAAGGGAAGCTTATTTAAGCACTGCATGCTTCCGTCCACATTTCAGAGGTAACATTTAATTTATGTTGAATTTATTTAAATTCATTTAAATTTATTTAAATTTTTATATTATATAAGGAGTTGGTTATATACCTTCTCCTTAAGTCTGTAGTAGGCTAAGCCTCCAGAATTATATGGTCTTTGGCCAAATCACCATTTTTCTTTGATAAGCTCATTATATAATAGTCGATTTCCGTAATATTTCTCCCAATTAAACCCCGTGTATAACCGGTCTAAAAAAAGAGATTCGGTCCAAGATGAATAGGATTGAAAAGCCATCATCTTGAGAAGGGGTATTACAAGTCCCACATTTTTATATGGATCTAAGATTAAATACATGATCCAGATTGGATATGTTATTGATCCTAAAGTGGGATTCAGTTCGAGATAAATGAACTCGAAGAGTTATCATCTCGAGGGGGAGAATTAAAGTAATCCCACATCGTCAGTAAATCGATAAATTTTGGTGAAGCCATATCCTAAAATTTATCACTTTGTGATAAAGTGCAACATCTAAAATGATGTTCACTCTAAAAAAGAGATTTAAGAGAATCGTTCATAACGCAAATCCAAAAGAGATTGCAAAACGATTCATGGTGATTTAATCTCCATGTTTTTACATGGAGCATGCAATTTTGCATGTAGTAATGATTATATACAAGGCCAACGATTTATAAGAAATATTTCTCCCATGTTTTATATACATGATTGGAGATCAAATATTTCTCATTTTTAAATTTTATGGGTGTGAGATATACGTTATAAATGCTCCTCTGCACCGCATAAAAAAAAAAAAATGACATCCTAAAAGGACAAAATATTGAGATGCAGGAGATGAGTCTCTGCTCTATAAATATTGAGCCATCTTTTAGAGATGTGCCTATTGCAAGATTTGCAAATCATCATGTTGATGATAAAGTTCCCCATCATTATGGGAGAATCATTGAATAGTTAAGATCTTTGAACAAATGACTACAATAAATATGAACTTAAGAGTTCAAAAGTTCAAATAGATCACTATTCATAATAAATTGTAAATCAAATACAAAAAGCTGATGGATGAGATTTCATGAAATTATTGATCCTCGTAAAAATGCATATGAACTTAAAGTTCATACGAAATCTCTTGTCCCAGCTAAAAATGCTCTATAAAAATATGTCTCTGGCGGATGACATATTATTGTCTATAACACGTAAAAGAACGTGATAGACAACTTTGGTTCCAAATATATATAAAAAAAAATCCTCGAAAAAAAGAGAGCATATTATTACTAAAAAGAGGATTAAACTCTTAAAAGAGGAGCATATAAACTTCTAAAGAGGAGTATAGAGACTCCTCAAAAGGAGCAAAGAGACTCCTAAAGAGGAGTAAAAAGAGACCGATTGGCATGGTTAAAGACGAAAACAGGTCCCTGAATAAAATCATTTATAATGATTAAGAGATCTTGATTAACAATGTCATTACGGCGAATATGGAACCAAAGACAACATAATGTCGACAAGAAAAATGATCTAGTGCACAAATGTGATTAATGAGGATCATGAATCTCTGCTCTGTGAGCGTAAAGAGATATATATTGGCCAATAAACAAAGAGGCAGCCAAGTCTATATTAATCTCGTATAAGAAACGAGTAATTCCTGGACACATGGTCCAAGCATCAAAAGAGTATTATGATACTTAAGACAAGACGGTGTGTCGCGCCGGATTTTGTCAAAATCACTCGATATTGAGTTGATGAATAAATGACTTGAATTGCGCCTCATGGGATGTCTGAAGGACTAATCCTAAAATATATGATATCATAGTTATATTCCCGGGAACTTATAATCATGATGTTTTTGAACATCATCAAAACTCTTAAAGAGTTATTTGGAATAAAAGATCTTGGAAAAACAAAAGTGTCTCCACATATTCCAACAAAACATCCAAAGAAAGAGATGTTATATTAGTCACTTCTAAGAGAAGTCGACTCTATATAGTTTGATCATGAAACACTATATATAAATGCTGACGAGTATTTATATATTTTGTGAATTGTACCTAGCATATATAAATGCTGACGAGCATTTATATATCTAGTGAATATATTGTACCTAGCATTTGCTACTGATCTACTTGCAGGATTAATTGATCTCTTCCGACTAGACCTTGAATGAGTTCAAATGTGTCTTCCATATCTGCAAGGTACGATTGACTTGGGTTTATTTTATTTTAGAAACCCCGAGTTTGGTTTAGTTGGTTTTGCAGATGGAGAATCTATATCAGATCTGTCTAAATATATATCGCAAAACAACAACTACGTGGCGTTTCCAACAACAAATTTTTGTCGCCGCTTGCTCAAACCATGCCAAAATTATTGCGCTCCATGAAGCTTGTCGAGAATCTGTATGGCTCAGATTGATGCCCTCAACATATACAAGTAGCAAGAAATATATGCACCAGTGAAGAGCCAACAACAAGACATTGTTACATCTGTTTCTCAACTCAAAGGAGGCTATGTCAAGATCGAGATGACAAGACATATTTCTCCAAGATTCTTCTCTTGCCTCCAAGAATCTGAGAAGAAGCAAGAAGTTGACGTCCAGTACATCCGGCCAAGTAACAGTGTAGCAGTTTTTGTTCAAAGACGCTGCCTGCTACGCCATTCAAAATTCATCTTTTGAAGATGATGCTTCTAGGGGAAGACATATGATGATGAGCGTGGCTGCACTCTTTTTCCCTTATCATGGTTTTTATCCCACTGGGTTTTTCCATGACAAGGTTTTTAACGAGGCAGCAAATAACACACAAAAGATAGACATCAAAGTGAAGGTCTATCTCTCTTCAAAAATCTTTGTCATACATTGACGAGATCAGAAGAAGCAAAGAGAATAATCGAGATGCATCATCTACAAAAGCTATACAGAGAACAAGACTCGTCTGTTCCAGGGGGAGATTGCGTCACTGTACTCTTTTTTCCTTATCATGGTTTTTATCCCACTGGGTTTTTCCATGACAAGGTTTTTAACGAGACAGTACGTAATACTCGATAATTATGGATAATCAAGGGGGAGTGTTATAAATTGGATAATTATTATTATGATTATCCATATTTCTACTTAACCCTTAAGTCTCTTTGCCCCCAAGTAACTTGGCCTCCAAGCCACATCTTCTCCAAGTAAACGTCTCTATAAATATGTGTTGCTTTGTTGTAATAATGGGTAAAAAAGAGAATCGTTTCTATTCACGTCTCCTCTCTCTCTTACATGTTTTCTCTTCTTTTCATATGCAATTATTTGTTATATATAGTTATACAAATATATACACATATATATACGTTATGATTTATAACATCAATTTCATATAGTAGGAGAATTAAATGACCATTTTCCCGTGATGTGATCTGGTAATTTAAATCCATGAAAAAACTTAATCCAATAACACCCCAAAAGTGTATAATTCGATGGGGTTTTTTTTTTTTTTTTCCAATCATTGAAAAAAGCGAAACCGACTATACGTTCGGTTAACCATTTTGTGAAGACATATGTGCAGAACCGCAGTGAAAGAGAACTTCGTCTTCTCTCTGGCAGTGGCGACTGTTCACATTGCTACCGTTCAAAGCCAAATCCTTCCAGTTTCACTTGAGCGATCTTATTAGGGTTTTACTTCTCCAGACCAAAATCAGTAAAAATGTGCGGTAGGACTCGCTGCACATTGAGACCTGACGATATCCCAAGAGCTTCTCACCGCCACACCGTTCCTACCCGTTTCCTTCACCTGGACCGGTCTTTTCTCTTTTCTCAATTTCAATTTTCAATCTTTAACCTCTACGAATTCTAAAAACTGTTCCTTTTTGTTGTTAATCAGTTATCGTCCATCTTACAATGTTGCCCCTGGATCCTATATACCTATTCTGCGTAGAGACAATGAAGTAGTTGGTGATGGTGTTGTTGTTCATTGTATGAAGTGGGGATTAGTTCCAAGTTTCACTAAGAAAACTGATAAGCCAGATTTCTTTAAAATGGTAAAATTTACTGTTTCTGAATTGGAAGTTCTTTTGTTGGTTTTTGGTTTGCCTTGTAAGGTTATAATTCCATTGTGAAAGGACTTTACTGAATCTGTTTTGATTCTCTGATTGTTGACGTGAGCCTATGATATAGTGAAGATGTTTTTGTTTTGTATATTTTGTAGTTTAATGCTCGGTCGGAATCAGTGGCTGAAAAAGCGTCTTTCCGTCGATTGCTTCCCAAGAATAGGTGCCTTGTTGCAGTTGATGGGTACCTATTATCTCCTCTTTCTTAGAATTTTAATTTATGTTCAACCTGTGTGTGAATCATAGTGTAGTGGAATAAATGTTTTAAATTCTGATCAGTATGTTACTCTTTCCAGTCATTTCATATTTTAATATTTTGGCTCTATGTAAATAATCTCAAGGCTAAAGTCTTGTTATTGCCTTCTGTTTCTGTGAATATTCTTCGAAAACGATTTTTTTGTTATGTAAATGTTTTTGATTCAGCTAGTTTTTGATGAGATGTTACGGTAGTTAGATGTGTACTTTTTTTCTTGATCCATACTCATGTTTGTATCTATATCATAAAAGTCTTGAAAAAGAACTTACAGTGAGATTCGGTTTGAAGGTTTTATGAGTGGAAAAAGGAAGGTTCAAAAAAGCAGCCCTACTACATCCATTTTGAGGATGGGAGGCCTTTGGTATTTGCTGCTCTTTTCGATTCTTGGCAGAACTCAGGAGGTGAACTATTTATCTGTTTATGTTATGCCATGTTCTTGTAACCTTTTCGCAGATGTTTGAAAAGTTTATCTTTTGCAATTGTATATACTCAATCTCTTCCTATCTAGTGCATGAGCTAGGAAATTTAAGGTCTGTGGATTGGAAATATGAAGGAAAACACGAAAGTCCTGTTGGACTAATTTAATAAAATTGATGAATTCGTTCTGTGGTTTTAGGTCCTCTTTGGTAGCTTGAATCTCTCGCCCGCTTAATAAAAAAGTACTTCTTTCCTTGCAGGTGAGACACTTTTCACCTTCACGATTTTGACAACCACTTCCTCAACAGCCCTCCATTGGCTCCATGGTGAGTAATAGTATTTCTCAGTATCTTATTTATCAAAACATTAACAGAGAAATCAACTTCGAGTATTATATTAGTATTGAGTTGTTTCTATTGTATTGTTACATTTAATTTGAATAAGCTCCTTTAGAGAAAGATACATTTGTATTTGCGAGTCTGCGGCATGAGAATCTTACATTGCTAATGGGACTGGATTCAGAAATGAACAAGGAAAGGCTGTTTATGCAAATATGCAATGTATTGTTAGTAAATGGACCAGTCCCAAAACCTTGGTGTTAGTTGAATTATGACAGTAGCGTTTCTTATACAACAATGCTTACACTATTAGCTGCTGTTGGTGAAAGTTTTATTGATTTGCCGCAGTCCTGAATTTCGCGCTAACACGTTAGTTTGTTTATTTTTCACGTAAGACAGAATGCCAGTAATTCTGGGTGACAAGGATTCAATCGACACTTGGTTAGATGATCCCTCAACGACGAAGCTGCAGCCATTACTCTCACCTTATGAAAAATCGGATTTGGTAAGCTTACTTAGTTCCTCTCTTCCTATGTAATAGTGGTCTTTCCTTTTTCACATACTTGAGATTGAACTTGAACTTTCAGGTATGGTATCCAGTAACCTCTGCAATTGGTAAACCGACGTTTGATGGACCAGAGTGTATTCAACAGGTACGGTTAACCAGGTTCCTTTTGTTAGTGTACAACTGAAGGTCTCAAGTTGCGTTAAACATATTCTTAGGATCATGTCTTGGAACTCTCTTTGTACTCATATAGCAAGCTATGTTTTTTTATACTCTGTTCACTTATCATCATTTAGAAATAAGGATTATGCCAACTGCAGATACCGCTAAAGACTGCACAAAATAGTTTGATCTCGAAGTTTTTCTCAACAAAGCCGCCCAAAACAGACGAAGGAGACAGAGAGACCAAATCGACAGTCGCAAATATCTCAGTTGATTTGAAAGAGGAACCTATGGTTGAAGGTTATGAAGAGGCCACATTTTCTAACAGCGTAAAGAAAATTGAAGAACTAGACGGGGAGAAAGATATATCGAATGAAGCCAAAAATATAGGTTTTCAAGAGATTGTGAAAGCAGAACCATTTACTGAAGATAACTCGGCAGTTGCATCCCATCCCGAACCTGTAAAGAATGAATTTGAGAAGGGTACAAATGAAGAAGGCAAATCCCTAAAGACTGGTCTTACTAACGAAACAGGTGAGAGCAATGCCAGTATACCGGCTGAGTCCTACAACCTTGATCTCCAAAGAATCTCAAAAGAAGAACCCGAGACCCAAGGCCATCATCTCTTTACTAAAGATGAGGAATTGAATCAGCCGCATGAGGCTGTTGAAGATGAACCAGGAAATGAAAACCAAAAGACAGTTTTAACTTGCCCGACCACGATGGAAGGTGGCTTAGAGTTTAGCGAGAAGTCTTCAGAAAAGAGGATGAGTGGGACAAAGCGAGACTATGAGGTATTCTCAGCTCAAGAAAAGCCACGGAAACACTCTGAGAGGTTGCAAAATGTTATAAGTAGTGGGAAACACGGAAGGAACCAAGGAAAGGGGAAATCTAACATCAAAAAACCTAAGGAGACGCAGTCTACGTTACATTTCTTTTTCGATGAGAAATAGTTCGAGTCTACGTAACATCTATGAGGACCATGTTGGGCTACTTTGGTTGTAGATAATGTTAGATAGGTACCGTCGTTTTTGGAATGTTGCTTGTATTGTATATGTAGTGTTTGATCTTTGATCTAAGGTAATAGTATTATGAATGAATTGGGTTTTTAATGTCCTTGGTGAATTGGGTTATTATTGAATTTTTGTTGTGTTTCAAATTTTTTCAAACAAACAGAAGCATTAAGTGTACAAAAGGTTTTTGGTTCAATATAATTTTTGCATTCAATTAAAGAAGGCCTCGAACTCGAGTCTCAAATGGTTGCGTCTCTTTTGTCTTAAATCTCACACTTTCACACTTTCATCAGTTTTATCTTAAAAATGAAAAACAAATCTCATTGAAAAAAAGACTTTCAACAAAAAAAAATAATGGGCTTTTATGACAGCCTATTTTTATAAACCCTAAAGATTGTTTTATTTATAAACCCTAATGTTTTTTTTTCTTCTAAATTTACAATCGAAAACCTAAAAACCCCTTACAATATGTTATTCCCAACTTTTTTTCATCCGTTCTTAGAAATCTACAAGACCTAAAAACTAGTACTACATAGTTCTCCCAGGCCAAGACTGCTGAACATCAATTGGACTGGCCAAGGCTATACAGATTGTGCGCTTTTGGCTGTCATTTTCTCGACTATTAAAAACGTTCATTGGCTTTTATGATAGTCAATTTTTGCAAACACTAAAGCTTTTATATTTTAAACCTACTACAACCTTTCATTTTTTCGGCCGTTTTCCTACATCTACAAACGAAAACCTAAAAAAATTCTAAATCTAACATCTAAATTAACATTTAGTATCATCTAATTTCCATTTGTAAGTGAGTAATAGAGTTTAACCCGCGGTACACCTCGGAGCTATATTTTTTTTAGAAAATCAAAGATTTTTTTGTTGAATATTATCTATACATATAATCTATTGTTTTGTTTGATTTAAATGTACTTATATATGTATATATTATACCGCGTATTGATTTTTACACTAAAAATTTTAAATTTTAAGTTGTATTTGTTTTGTTAATATTTTTTGTTTTGTTTAGTGTTTATGAATTGTATTAGTGTATTTGTTTTTGTCAACCACACATTAATTAAAAAGTAACCACACAATTATTATGTAATTGTATAATTGTATTTTGATTGTCAATTCTAAGATTCCACCGTGGTATACCATCCCGTATGAATATCAACTCAAACCCGTCTCACCATATAACCCCGTCTTGTGAAATTAAACATCATTTTCTTATTTTTATTTTTAATAATATTTTTTATTTAAAAGATATATAATTCAGGTTCATTTAAAAGTTTTCTTTAAATGGTTTCCATAATATATATATATATATCTTTTATTGTTATAGAGTTCAAATATTATTAATATTATACACGTTTTGTTATACATAAAATCTCATATTACTTAGTTTATATATTAATATTTTAAAATATACTTTAAAATATTATAAGTCTCTTTCACGATAAGACCCTTTTGTTTTTTCTTTTAGAAAATCTGAACAGAGCCACTGCATCTTCTTCTCTTCAATCTCACTTTCTTCTTAAATCCATAAAATTTGTTCCGATCAAAATATTTGTTATCAATTATTCCTCCAAAATCAATAATTCCAAAATTTTGATTTTATTTCTTTAGTTCTTGAGATGAAGTTGAATAACCAGAAAGATACATCAGAGAAGCTAATGTGGGCACATAATTTATCCGGATCCGGTTCACCGATCCGACCCGTATCCAAACTAATGGTCAGGCTGCTCCTTCTCGTCTCTGTCTCTAACGTTGTCTACACACTAAAGCTCATCTCAAACTGCTGTAATCAAAACTTACACCTCTCCATCAGCTTCATCACTCCCACATCCGTCGCCGCACGAGGTTCCAGCACGGTGGTTTCTGGAATCACCGGGTTGGGGAGGCTGTGGAAACAGAGAAAAGCGTACATCAACACGGAATACAAATAAAGTTTGAAGACAAAGGTGTGTTATCACGATATATAAAATATGTAGGGGATGGTCTGATGAGAGGTAAAGCTAAAGAGTATATATAGGCGCAAGACAATTAGGTTAATAATTTCTTGGTGGTCAAGGAAAATTTAATTGCAACCTTAACTAAATCTAAATGGGATTCAAATATATCTTATCGGATTTTTAGGAATATACCTAAAAATCCGACTTTTAATTGTAGTACTAGTTTCTTTAAAATCGTTGCTATAAATATATTTTTGTAGAGAAGAATTAAGTATTGTCTAGATTTTTAGAAAGATTGTGTCGAGATTTTCGGAAAATAGGTTTAATCGAATTTGATTTTGTTTGGAATATACCAGTTTTATGCGCCTTAATTAATAATAAATATGTTACTTTAAACGGTTTTTATGTAGATATTGGATGGAAGAGATCTTTAAAATTGATCAATATAATTAAATTTTGTGGGTTATTAGAAATTATAGAGATTTTGAATTTTTGTTTATGAAATCATACATATAAAAGTAAGGTTTCACTCTCTTCTTATTGGTCTATTTGGCAATGTAACTTAACTAGAGTTTAACCCGCGGTACACCGCGGGACTATATTTTTTTAGAAAACCGAAGATTTTTTTGTTAAAGATTATCTATACATATAATTTATTGTTTTTTTTTATTTAAACGTACTTATATATTTTTATATTATACCGCAGATCGATTTTTTATACTAAAAATTTTAAATTTTAAGTTGTATTTGTTTTGTTAATATTTTTTTGTTTTGTTTAGTGTTTATAATTGTATAATTGTATTTTGATTTTCAATTCTAGGATTTCACCCGTGATATACCGTCCCATATAAATATCGACTCAAACCCATCTCACCATATAACCCCGTCCTGTAAAATTAAACATCATTTTTGTTATTTTTCTTTTTAATAATATTTTTTATTTTAAAAATATATAACTCAAGTTAATTTAAAAGTATGCTTTAAATGGTTTCCATCATATATATATATATATATATATATATATATATATATATTTAATTGTTATAGAACTCAAATATATCTACTCGGAGTTTTAGGAATATACCTAGAACTCCGACTTTAAATTGTAGTAAATATTTTTTAAAAAAATCGTTGCTATGAATATATTTTTGTAGAGAATAAATAAGTATCGTCTAGATTTTTAGAAAGATTGTATCAAGAGTTTTGGAAAATAAGGGATTGATTGGAGGGAGTAAATATTTTGAATTAAATGTGGTGAATTATAAGAAAGTAAAGACATATCGTCATATTAATAGGCTAAGAAAACGTGTTAATGTATTGTATTTCTTAAATCTGTTTGTAAATTTGAAACATACTAAATCGTTGCTAAGAGATACTTTCATTTCCTAGATCTGTTTGGCATAACTTGTAAATACATTCCAACTTTAGAATTTATTTTAGAAAATTATCTATAGATATAATTTATTGTTTTGTTTGATTTAAATGTACATATATATGTATATATATTATCTCGCAGTACACCTCGAGTCGATATTTTATAACTAAAAATTTTAAATTTTAAGTTATATTTGTTTTGTGAATATTATTTATTTTGTTTAGTGTTTAAAATTATATAATTGTATTTGATTGTTTATTCTAGGATTTCACCCATAGTATACCGTCCCGTATTAATATCGACCCATACATGTCCCACCATATAACCCCATCCCCTGAAATTAAACATCATTTTGTTATATATATTTTTAATCTATATTTACATTTTTGGAGTCGTTAGAGATACGTAGATTAGGAATATCAAAAATGATAATTTGGTATTAATTAAATGCTCTCAAAATTAACGTAGGTAATATTTTAGAAACTACCATTTGAGTTAATATAGAGATATTTTGGCAATATTATTATACGGCAAATCTTAATCTTTAAATATGAAAAAAATAATTAAATACAGTGGCATGGACTCGTAAATACATCCCAACTCCAGGATTTATTTACTAAATGTACTCCAAAAATGTATATATAGATTTTTTTTTTTTCAATTTAACCATAAATAAAACACATTTAACTCACACTTTAATATAAAAACTGAAATCATTAAAATTATACATTAACTATATTTTCCACTCAATTTTATTCAATACACAATAAATTAGAATTGTAACTCCCATAATTGTTTTTAATAATTGTAACTTATCTCCATTCTCATCACTTCTCATCACCAACTCCCATAATGTTTTTGTTAATGCCCACACTAAATTGCAACAATACTTTAAATACAATTAATACAAAATAAATTCTACACAATGAATTCTTTGAAATGTAACATAACTTTTATGATATAGATACAATTAACTTACTCATAAATGGCATTTAAACATAATTGTTAAAGTTGAATAGTTTTTAAACGTATATATGTTGTCTTCTATAAATAATAATATACACATATCATTAACCATCATATTCCAAATTTCATAATATTGATAAATTTTATAAAAGTTTCTATTATAATCCGACTAATGGTGTTTCAATATTACTTTTTTGTCAATTTTGTAAGAGACTGTGAAAAGGAGATGACATGTAACCAAGAAACCATACTCACAATCAATCGTATGTGCTATTTCAGAGGTCTTTTAAAAAGAGCGAGTAGAGAAACTCGAAGTTTGTAATGCAACAAGATATATTAAGGTTGATTTTCTTTGTCCAAAATAATAATTTATATAAACCTAAATTTTGATTGACTCAAAATAAATTTGATATTTTTGAAGTGAGATTAAGAAGAAAATCAAGAAGAATAATGATGAGTAGAAGAAAAATACAATTAAGTATGCTTCGAAACAGCATAAGTGTTAAGTGGTAGTGGAAGCATACCCTTAAATTGTATAAAAGAATAATTCATCTCTCTTCACTTATCTCTTACAATATAATTCATCTCCATTCCTACATCTATTTCTTAAACAGTAAAAGAATTTAAAGAATAAATTATTTAATTTGTTATACATTTCTCAAATAAATTATGCTTTTACAAGTAGCATAAAATTGTTATTTTATTAACGGAGAATAAACTAATAAAATATTGTTTAACATTTGTTACGTCATTTATGTGATTTTAAATATTTCCATTAAGTAGATAAACAACTTCGAATCAAGTTGTATCAAAATATAACGGTAGACTCAATTCAAAACTCAGCCCAAACCCAATCATATATATGAAAGTTGGCCAATTCTCTCCATATGAGTGTCACATCTTCACGAAGAAAATGATATGTGTCATTCTATACTATTTAAATTAAAAAATTAGCCAAGTTAAAAGAGAAAAAAAATCAAAAGATCTTCATTGCATTAAATCCTCCATCAATCCTACTCTTAAGTGATTTATTCAAAAAACTTTAACAAATACAAAATATGTTAATAAAAAATATTACTTTCATTATACTCTTATTTTATTAAAAAAATTCTTTTATGAATGGTCACTATTCGATAATGACTGAAACTTTTATTTTTTGTTGTAATTTAGTTGTTTGCTACCTAAACTATTAATAGTTTAGTAATTTTACCTTGAGTCTTGCTCACTATTACATTTTGTTGTTCATATATATCTTATCATATGACTTTCTCTCTTTTTATTTTTGTGTCTTATGGTAATTAGTAACATTGACATAAAAAAAATTTCAAGTGATGGGTCTTTGAGACGTTACGTACCAAAAATTCAAGACACGACTTTTCTCTTATATGGGTATATGCAATGGTAGAAGATTTAAAAACTTTGACATAAATAACATTTTAGTTTTTGCTTTCTTTTTCTTATTTTCATGTGAAAACTCTTGAGATCTTGTTCAATTTATGTCTATCTAGTATCTACTAATGAGTCTATCACGATGTGGTTGGAGTACTAGATCAGGAGAGTACACAGAACAAGAAATTGTATTTATAATCAAGTTAGGCGAGTTTCACATCACACAAATAACATAATTACATATAATTGTATAAAAATATCCTATATTATTGTTGTATGTTCATGATGCTGAAAAAATATTAGGATCTTAGAAATATAAATAATAAAATTTATACATGAAAATAAATCTAAGCATACAAATTGTAACTACATAAGATGAATTTAATTTAATTAATTACACAATAACAAATAAAAAAGTAAAAAAAAAATAGAAACAAGAACAATCAACATAATTTGTTCGTAATAATTTTTAAAACAAACTCAAGCATAGAGTTGTAAGTATAAATTCCTTGTTGGGGTTACATCTAAACAACAAATTCCACAAATTCTCTTGAGTGCTTGAGAACATAAAAACAAAGAATAATAAGTCCAATAAAAACCTTCATATGCATTTCTATGCCTTCTATGTCTATTTATAAAGACCATTAGAAATTTCATTTAATTATATCAACAAATCTTATGATATAACTATAACAAGGATCTAGATATGGATTCACATACTAGACCTTTTTGTTTTTTGTTGAAAAAAAGTCCGATGGGCCAAAGGAGAGCTTTATTTCGTGGGCTTTATCTTTCTATTAGTCTCAAATGTAGGCATTAGAGTTCTCACTCTTTTTCTATAAAACAGGAAGATGAAACGTTCGTGCGTTGAGAAAAAAAAAGAATCTAAACAAACACAAAAAAAAAAACAAATCGAGAGAAAATGGGTATCTACTGGTCCACGTTCCTCTCCTCTGTCCGACCACCTCCGCCTCCTCCGCCACCACCACCGCCACCTGCACCACCGCAGAACCAGTTTCTGGAGCTCGTTGAAGCCGGAGTCCAAATCTGCATTGTGGCAGTCATTGCAATCGGAATCTTCCGTGCGGCAAGTGGAGCTCCGGTGATTGTCTATGCACGTCGTAGGAGTGACATCTGGGACAGGGGGTTTTACTAGATTCTTGCGTAGATGATGATTTCAACCAAAGGTAGTATTTTCTAAAAGAATTAATTAGAGTCAGTTTTTCATTAGTGTTTGTAGTAAAAGTCTAGAAAATCTCGATTTACATATAAGAACAACCTAAGGTGAAGAACTCTAAAGATTAATCATAACATGTAAACGATTTACTACTTCATCTAAATCCCTAATGAGAATCCCTAAACCTAACAGGGAGATTACTCAGACATGGTTAATGAAACAAAAAACGTTTGTATAAATTGCAAATAAAAAATCAAAAGAAGAATAGAGTTTAGAATAAATCTTCTCTCTACACGGATTTGAAATCTCTGAAAGTAGCTCTCTCCAATTATCTTCCAAAGGATTGAACCTCAGAGAATTACAAAGCCAAAAGCAAGATAATGAATAATAAAAACCCTAAAAACTATTTATAATGTCTCAAAAAACGTGCAGGGACTAAAGTTGCAAATAGAGAAGTCTTCTGGATTGATTCTTCGGGCTTTAAAACTCGTAAACCGTCGAGACTTTTGCTGGGCCTCGTGTGGTGTCGATCGACACCAGGGGGTATCAGTCGACATTCATGCCTTGGTCTGATACTAAATTCGTTTCTTCAGCTCTTAATCTCTTGTTTAACTCCAGAATGGTTCCTTTTCTCAAAATTTGTCTCGAACGTGTAAAAACCTAAAAATACTCAAAAAGATTCTAGAAACAACAAAAAGACTTTAAAACTGGCGCATATATCATGGCTAAAATCGGTAAAATCCGTGATATATATCAAGTAGGTAGCAAACATCTAAACTGTAAATTTTGTCATTATCGAATAATGATCATTGATAAATTAAGATTAGTAAAATAAGAAGCGTATAATAAAAATAATAGTTGATACATTAGCAAAAAAAATTACTTTTTTATTTTATTTGAGAAAATCAATTAATTAAAAGTGGTATTGATGGAGGGTTTCATACAATTGAGAACTTTTGATTTTTTTTCACTTAATTTTGTTAATTTTTCTATTAAATTAATACAAACTGACACATGTCATTTTCTCATGTGATGATGTGGCACTCATATGAAGAGAGTTGGTCAACTTTCATATATAACTTTCATATTTTTCATATATTCTGTTGGTCATAAATCCTCACATTTAATACCTACATAATTTTCATAACATGACCAAACATCACCATCGAACATTAACATAAATCTCAATCATAACATCACATCATATATATGAAAGGAGGCTATCTCTCTCCATCCTTCCGCCACGTCAGCATTTTAGGCTATTCTAGAGCTGACACATCAGCTTTCTATTCTTCCAATCAAAACATTTCATTAATAAGATTCAGCCTTTATTTTTTACACATCATCATCTTTTAATTAGAATTGTCAAATGGTGAAAACATAATAGGCCATGACGGATGGGCCATATGGATTTGAAAATCTATTTCACAAGTTAATAATATATTTATTAGTTAATTATATATATTATTTAATTTTACATATTTATTTCTACTAATACCAACTTATTTGGTTATTTTATGTTTTTTTCAATGAAATTATTTTATTAGTTTTATATACTCCAAAGTTTTTTTCGCTAATTTTTGTAATCTTAACTCAAAATATGAGTGGATAATAGTATAGTGGATTAGCTAATGGTTTGAGTAAGTTTTTCTCTTAAATTTTTGATCTATATATGACACTGAGGGTGAAGAGTACGTAAGGTCATCAAATTTTTGAGGTTCTATAATCCCAACATTACCATCTATAAAATTGGTTTAGGACAAAGATTGTTTACGGATTGTGTGAGTGATGCATTGTTGAGTATGTTGGTGGAAAATGTATTTTAATATTAAGAGTAGTTGTTCATTGCATGAGTAAATGATTAGATAATTAAAAATTACATTTATCAAAATATAACATCAAGTAAATCAAAATTAAAAAAAAAACGGAAAAAACCCGCGGCGTAAAGCGGGTGATCAACTAGCAACAAGAACAATCAAAATAATTTGTTATTAACAAATTTTAAAACAGACTCACGCGTAGCGTGGGTATTCATCTAGTAATATATGAAAATTGGTCAACTCTCTCCATATGAGTGTCACATCATCACATAAGAAAATGACATGTGTCATTAAACATTATTTAAATAAAAAATTAACTAAACTAAATGATAAAATATTAAAACTTCTTTATTGCATTAAATCCTCCATCATTTCTACTCTTAAGTGATTTGTTAAAAATAAAATTAAAAACAAAATTATATTAAAATAAAACCAATACTTCATTATACTCTTCTTATTTTACTAAATGGTCACCACTCAATAATGACTGAAACTTAATTTTTATGTAATTTAGTTGTTTGTCACTTAACCTCTTATTTTACGTTTTGTTCATATATGACTTATCATATGGTTTTCTCTCTTTTTACTTTTGTATCTTATGGTATAAATTGGTAACATTGACATGTAAGTTTTTCAAAAGTGATGGGCCTTTGAGATGTTAGATATAGCAAAAAATTTAAGACACGACTATTTCTCTTATATGGCGATATGCAATGGTAGAAGATGTAAAAGTGTTTACTTCAATGAAACTTTAGTTTTTGATTTCTTTTTCTTATTTTCATATGAAAACTCATGAGATCTTGTTCAATTTATATCTATACAGAACTTAATAATGAGTCTGTCACGATATGGTTGGAGTACTTCATCAGGAGAGTACACAAAACAAGAAATTGTATTTATAATCAAGTTAGGCGAGTTTCAAACCACACATAAAACATAATTATATGCATATAATTATCTAAAATTATCCTATATTGTTGTTGTATGTATTCATGATGGTGAAAAATGAAAATATTTTAGGATCTTAGAAATATAAATAAACAAATTTATACATGAAAATGTATAAATTGATATTACAAGTCAAAAATAAATTTAATCATAAAAAGTTGTAACTACATAAGATGGATTTAATTTATTAACTACACAATAACAAATAAAAAGTAAACATAAATTAGCAACAAGAACAATCAACATAATTTTTTCTTAACAATTTTGTGAATGGGTATCTACTAGTCCACGTTTATCTCCTCTGTCCGACCACCTCCGCCTCCTCCAATTGATGGAAGGTTTCATACAATTGAGGACTTCTGATTTTTCTTCACTTAATTTTGTTAATTTTTCTATTTAATTAATGCAAAATGACACATGTCATTTTCTTGTGTGATCATATGTCACTCGTATAGAGAGAGTTGGCCAACTTTCATATATATGAATAGGAACATTGAGCAATACGTTCTTGTAGCCGTCCAAATAGGGTTTCAAGTAAAAAAAGATCAGTTGTTGATCGCTTGGTACAAATTGATAACCTGGCGGTAAAAGGTAAGTTAGCGTCGATGGAGGAGGCATGTTATCAGCTGCCAAAGAAGAAGAAGAAGGATTCTCCGACGGTGGTTGCGGTTGCGGTTCCGGCGAACATCTTTCCTTGCGCTTGTTTCTTCCATGCATGAGTAAACTTTGAAGCGTTAACAAAAATATAATATGTAATTCGTGAGATTCAACTTAGTTAAAATAAAAAATAAAAATAAAAAAATAATAAAAAAAAAAAGCTCTCGAGAGAAAAGTTGGAGATGGTGACGGCGCTAGGGTAATCACCCAACCATGCGTTTGTTTTTTGCGGCGAGGGTGATTTGGTATTCGTTATGGAAGATTGAGATCTCTCTCAGAGGATTTGAAGGAGGTGTATCTCTTGGGTTTCACTTGGTTTCATCGGTTAATTTGGTAAAAAAGGTACTTTGCCGATGGTTTCTACGGAGATGTAATTCGGCCAGGCGTTTATGGTCTCAGGCAATAGAGAATCAGGGAGTCTTGGGTTTCCTTGGGATCTTCATCGAGTGGATTGATGGGGTTTTTATTTTTGGGATCAGATTGGTTTTGAGGATTATTTCGGTAGCTAAGACAGGTTGTCAATGGTTTAGATGAGATTCTATCTCTTGGGGAAAGCAGAAGTATGGTTGTGAGGAAGCAAATGATAGATCTGGGCGAGTAAATTTGTGTATCGGGGGCCAATGGAAGAGAGGAGTGAAGATTGTTTCTGGGAAAATGGAGTCTCGATCTGCTAGATATGGTGTCATAAGTTGGATCTTAATTCTGGAAACTGGACGTGGGGTGAAGGAGATCCGATCTGTTCGTGGGTCTCTTTCGAAATGGCCTCAATGGTGGTTTGGGGACAGCATTTGGTTGGTTTCCGGGGAACTTTTAAATGGGGAAGTTTTGGTTTTGATCTCGATTCTTGAATATGAATGCGAGTTAAAGGAGCTGCGAAGTCTTCGAAGAGAAGCGTTGAATCGGGATAGATGGTGGCTTGTTTGGGGGCGAATCCTAAAGCTAGATTGTGTTTTGAAGGATCTAAAATCTATTCAGGCTGATGCGTTGTATGGCCATGGTGATGAGAATGATGGTGATGAAGAGGTAGACTCTAGGGTTCTAAACCCAACAATGAGGTCTAGTTTTGTTTCGATCATGTCTTGCTTCAGATTTAGCTCTTCTCGGGTGATTCTAAGGATCGTATCCAATAGATATGTTTTTCAGATTTGGTTCTCTTTGGTTGTTTCTGGTTTTGATGTGGAGGCCTTCAACGGAGGATTGCAATGGCTTATTACAAACAAAGAGAAGGATTCATCACAAACGAAGTTAATGTGGATGGATTTTCGCTCTCATTCCTTGGTGATTTCTCAGATTTGCATATTTGACTCATCATCTTCAATTTGGGAAGATGTTTTCATATTTCTGTTACTCAATTTCAGAGATTATTTGGTCCCCAATTGGTTTTTTGGAAAGCATAGTTTTGGGTTTTGGTTATGGAAATTGTGGTTCGTATTTTATGTAACTCTTTATATGTTGAACGATTTGGTGTTCTGTTTTTATCAAAGTTTTGAAACAGAAGATCAGGCTCTTTTATTTAATGGGAACATTTGGATGACAAGGTTGCAAAATTTGGGAGATCATGGGAATGAAGGCCATAAACCGACACACCATGGCACGGTGAAAGGTTTCACGGGTGGACGCAA